TTATGATGTTCCCTGATGTTACCAAATAACTAATCGCCACAGAATATCATATAAATTTTGATTAGTAACAGATAATTATAAAGATTATTTATAGCATAATAATACCAATTATTATATTAAAAGGAAAAAACCATTACGTATTGTCTTCGTACAAATGGTGACTGAGTTAATTTTAAAAGTATACTTTTGTACATTAACATTTTTTGTTTACTATTCTACTCCATAGGCATCGCCAGGGGGGCCGGAGTGAAAGGGGGAATGCAAGACGGAATGGGACAGTTGATTTTTTTGTTTTCTATGCGCTTCTAAACCATTCAAAGGATTGAGATTAAACTTTGATAAGTAATAATACTTTAAAACTTTGATCTGCGTAATAACCAACTGTTCTATTAAGTGATCATCATTATCAGCTCACTATACGTCCCCACCGAGGGGCTCGGAGCCTACCCTAAGTTAGGGGTGATTAGACCATAGTAAACCACGCTGGCCAAGTGCGGGTTGGTTGTCTTCACACATATCTTTGAATTTCTTCTTAGATATGTGTAGGTTGCATCACGATGTTTTCCTTCACCGTAAGAACGTCGAATAAAGTCGGAAATCGAAAGACACATTGTTAGATAGCGGGATTCGAACCCACAACCTGCAGATTGCAAGTCAAGGGCTTGACTCCTGAGCAACCGACACTCTGAGCCGCTCTCTATTAAGAGCTAATAAATGTAAAAAAATGCTCGGATAGTTCTGACAATTTGAAATTTTATCTTTACTTGGTATTGCAACGCATGCCAAGTTTAACTGGTATAGTTACAATAATGTTATGAAAGTGGCTGCCGCAATCGAGGCGTGACGGTAAGTCCCGAGGGAGCGGAAGTCTTTGCTTCCGCCCGGAGATCCGCTCCGATACTCGCCCGGTCACGACTCCCGACTCCCGACTTCTACTCGCTTCTTGAATAACGAACTTATTATACGTTATTTATGTGACATTACACGGACTATGACACATTCGTGACATAAATCCTACCACTCAACAAATGAGGAAACCAGCATACTTATAAAGAAAACTTTAATAGTAGCCTATGTGTTCTTTCAGACTGTGTTCAACTTGTATGCCAAATTTCATCAAGATTCGTTAAGCCGTTCTGGAGATACCTTCTAGCAAACATCCATCCATCCATACATCATACAATATTAGTAAGGTTCAGACTAACTTTTCCTGCTAACTTTTATAGATAGAATCTTCAACTAAAGTAGACTCATAGGGCTGAAATAGACAAAGAAAACTTCCATGGAAAATTCAAAACAATTTTTTTTTACAGTCAAGTTAAAAGGAAGAAACCGGGCATTAAATCATTAATACTTGTATTCGAGTCAAAACTGCTAGTAGTTAATTTAAATTACATAGAACTGTAATTACGTAGTTGGCAAGGCAATACAATGCTTCCACAGTATTAAAGTGAAACACGTAGCAACGATCCGGCGCTAACGCTGGCCCGTAGACTAAACAATGACATCAGCTGACCTATTGCGGCCGTAATTTTTGAACAACGACGTCGCTTCAGCCGACCCCGACGCGTGTCAGACTCAAATTCCTCGTGTAAACAAACATTCACTCAAATCAATTCTGCACAATACATAATAACCTATAAGTTTGATAAAATACAACGATGAAATAAACCAAGATATATTTTAAGTTATTCTAAAGATTGTGTAGTAAAATATTTCTTGACAATAAAACTCTAACATCATTATTTAGTTTTGATTTTGTAATCTATTTTAATCGTCCCTAATAATCTATTTCTTATTAATTATATGTTTGATTGCAATCCAAAAGAAATGGGCAACGAAAACAACGGAAAATATGTTACCCAACATCGATAAATCAAAGTACAAAATAATATAAAGATATGGAATCGCGAAATCAAGTAGGTAAGTATATGTTACGATACACTTCTTAGAATCATAACAGGAAAGGAAAACTGGATGTTAAAGACATTATTATAATGCCGTTGGAAATATAAAAGAATGCGAATGTCGCAAACAATGTTCCGTATAACTGACAGATCAAAGTAAACAAGTTTTGTGCCATTACTCAATTCACGTTGTATAAAACCATGTAAAACATATTAAAATGAGAAAAAGCACGTAAAAACTCAGAAGTTTTTTTTTAAACAAATAGCAATTTATACTGTGTTACAACTGTCGCCCACTATCTCCGTCCGCGTGGAATTAGAAAAAAACTTAATTAGTAACGTATATATTCTTCCAGACTATGTTCTAAACATCTACGCCAAATTTCAGCGAGATCCGTTCAGCCATTTAGGAGTTACTTTCAAACATCCATCCACCTCTCCAAACATTCACATTTATAATATTATGCGACTCTGTAACTTAAAAGATACTTCATACACATATCTACTTGTCATATATTTACGCAGTATACTATTGACGGCGACGAGAGAAAAACAAACAACTAACGTTCCACGTCATCCACTGACGCTATGGAATCCATCAACTTTGTTTCCAAGAAGACGGCAGAGGTGTAAGGCATGTCGGCGGGCGACGGAGGACGGGGAGACGAGGTGAATTAACGGATGGAGTCCGTGGGAACGGCCGACACTTCCGCTCCGCTTAGCCGATCGCGACTCGACACTCTTGAGCTATTTCCTTTTCGTAGGGTGACCAAATATCACTGCCACAATCACAAACGAGACTTGTAATTATATAGCGACGGTTATGACTCGTAAACCGATTTAAAAAAACATTACTTGTTGTTGATGAAAAGATACTGTTGACGATGTTATCTGCTTAGTCAACATACATTGAGGTCTACCAAACAAATAAGAAAACAAAACTGAATGTACATACAATTATATTTTTCATGAACATATATGTATACGTTTTTATACAAGTGTTTTGGCATAAGAACCCCTCCAATCCAATTATCACAGTTTTGATTTTGTTTTAAGCCGCAAAACCTGAAAATAAACTTACTTAATAAAATAAGAAAACAATATTAAATTCTTGAAACCATGTTTTCCTGTATGTTACGATTTATCATAATCTTTTTATTATTTTTGCAAGTAGTATTTTATCCTGATATAATGTCAGTTTATACTTGATTAAATTTATCAGAAAACGAATTGTCGCCACACTTCGCTCTATCAGAAAATGATCGATAGGATTTTGTTAAAAGTAAGTTTCCACTGTCGTAACACCTGTGGTTATAGTATCGCCATCTCTCTTCCCCTGCATATATAAAGGGTAACATTTATATTTTTAAACTGTCACGACAGTTAACGATAACACGCATTCCTAATAAAATCTACTTTAAAATAATGGTGCAATAACGACTGGTGTTTCCCGTAGGGTCAATCGGCCCATCGATCGAATCAAATCAATCTGCTTGATCAATCGGTATGCTGATCGGCCCTACGAGAAACATTTGACGTATAAGTGTAATAAAGCCAAAGGTTTTCAACCATAATTTTCAAATATTACTTTTATATGTTTTCGGACGTATATTATGTTGGGAATGCATTAGATATCGTTCATATTTTAATTAATCTGGAATCTCAGAATCGATTATTTTATTGCTGATATCCATGGGCGTCGTTGAACACCTCGGTGTTCCCTCTGCTCGTTTGTCCCCTTCTGCTATAAAAAAATTACTGAGCAGATAAACTTCAAATACCGCGTATTACTTTTTATATGTTACATAAAAGGAAAATTATTTGAGGTGAATAATATTTATCTACTGATATTTTAATTGCTTGTAAAAAAAGTAATCGTTACTTTTTATCTTTTTTTTATGTGTAACTATGAATTTAGCCATAAATTGTATTAAAACATATTTGTTTAAAAATTTTTTTGAAACAATTATTACGACAGTGAAAGTCATATTATTATTATTTTATAAAATGGAATATTGTATCAATATCGGTATCTATATACCTAATATTTATAGAATTTATCAACATTTATCATATTGGCAAAAACTCCTTATCGGCGCATCCTCAGTTTTATCAACACGGAATTATAGTAAAAATTTATGACACATGAACATAAAAAAGATTTTATTATTTCACTCGAAAAACATTAGTATTATACATTTCTGCAGATATTGTTGCATTACTCTGATGATAGATGGCGTATTGATAAATATAAGTGCAGTTTACTTGATATCTAATATATATTTAATATAATTGTGCGTTGCTGATCCTGATGCACCCGACGCACCACTTCCCGCAAACGCAATATAGATGTCGCGCGTCGTCGTCGAAACGAACACGGAACCGTAAACTCTTAAGGGACCCACTACGCTATGATGAAACTAACATGTCCGTTGTGCAACCCTTTCCGTCCAACTTTTTACAACCCGCAACGACGAACAAGCTTAATCCAAGCCCTGCGCCCGATTGTAGGTTGAG